CCGTCACTATTGAACGTCAATGAAGTGAAAATGTTGTTCATCCTTTCATAAACTCTTTATTAAAACTTCAGAAAGTACAGAAACTTTTTATATTTCCGAACAGGAATAAGTCCGTGCTCGGTACCAGTAAATTAACTCCTCGACTAAAATGTATTTACTTGGTTGCTGAAATTTTCGAAGTGTAGAACATTATCCAGTTTGCACACCCTTCCGGCAGATGTTAGTGATTAGCTACCCACAAAAGTTGCGCCTTTCCGTGTGATTTAAAAAATTATTATGTCCGCTTTGGTGTGCTCAGTACATGACTATTACGAATTCGCTACCTAAAGTCGATTTTAATTTTTTTTAAATATTTTCAAATGTATGTTATGGTGTTTGGCTAGTTTTGTAAGAACTATTTGAGACTAAATGCTAAAGTACATTTTGTCACGTAAACAAATGTTAAATTACTCTTTTGCTAGTGTGATGTGTTGTGGTTCCTTATGGAAAATTTGCATATGCCTCAAGATTGCGCCCGTGTTGATGCAAAGATTTGCTGGCACTTTTAATCCTATGGACTTAAAAAAATTATTTTTACTTCGGTGACTGTGGTTTAAATAAACCCATATTGTCTGCAAAGTTGTAATCCGCCAGAACTGTACGTGACCGCAAATGACCCGCACGCTACTTAGCATAGCGATAAAGTATGGTTGTACATTTAATGCGGATATTTTGCTAGGAAAAGTGTGCGAAATAATCTTCCGAAGTTTAGTATTTTCGCCTGTTCCACGAGCTGCTGACAGAATTTTACAAACAAAGGAAATCATACTTGCAGTATAATTTTAAATAGTTGCATATGAATTCTTCAGACCTCAAAACGTTCACTAAGCAGTAAGCAACATATTCACTGAAAGGAAGATCTGGCAGATTTTCTTAATTAATTTACAACTGGCTGTCGCATATTATGTGGTTAAAATATCATTCGTATCAGATAATGATGATTTTTAATTTTCCCTTTAATACTGCTTTGTGCCTTGAATTAAACAAACCTCTTTTCGCAATGCATCCTATATGCTTGACTTGTCATTATTGTAGTTGGCTTCAAATATCATAACATTACCTTCAGGCGTATGGGGTCGATTTCGCTGATATGGCCCAGTTTCACGAATTTACATATCAGTAATGGTATTGACAAAGTATTCTTTGCATAAAAAGGGCTACCAGTCGGGGTTTGTTGATTCTGTCAATGTTTTCATTTTCTTTCCATCAAGGGCCTATTGGACCCCCTTGTTTTGTTGCCTACCTGATAAATTAAATTGTTGTTTTACTTTGGCATGCATGTATGATTGAAACCGTGCTTCTTGATGAAAATAGAACTGAGAAATATCTTTGCCCTATAGAAAACCTAATGGACATGGGAGCATATTTAAATACTACCGGAGTTACACTCGAATTAGTGAATTCGGCAGGGCTACCGGGCAATGTAAGGTTCCCGATTTAGTGCATTTAACATGCAGGAATTTTTTAAATCAGCCTTTAAAACGCATTACTTAAAATACACTGCTTTTAATTTTCATTGTTTTGCATGTACATTTTGCCAGAGACGTTTGATAGCATATCGCATACTTGTCATACGGTTCCGCCGATTTAAGCTTTTAGTGTTATATGGCAAAGGAACGCGCAGAAAATCTTATCCACGTAACCGTAACATTTTTAATTCACCTTTCTAATTGGATGCCTCAACATACGTACAATAAATCTAATGGAAAAGCGCGAGGCTGAAACTTGACAAAAACATAAAATTGTCTTCATCCGCTGTTTTTCAGGTAGTAGCCAATCCGGCCGCTTCCGCATGACACACTCGACCGAAGTTTTACACATCCACGTAATGGTGGGAGAACTACAACCGGCAACCAATCAGATTTAGCCAAGCTGTTTCCAATTAGCACGACTAATAGAACCGGCAGTATCACATGCGTCGCACGTTTGCCTGCAGTTAAACACTTTCCAACGGTGCGAAAACAGAGTTGCTGTATTATATGGACAATGAAAATCTGCTGAGACAAAAGGCCTTTTCAGTAAGGCGAACACTCTGAAGCTACTACTAAATTGGATCGTGGGATGGGAGGCCCGTTTTCAGCAATGCTTTGTTCCCCCTATCTGTGGATCATACTTTTTGTTACCGTCGGTGAATTACAGATGGCTCCCTTTGGTGAGCTCTACAACAACCTGAAGCTGCGGATTCCTGGCGATGTTATGATAGGGGCCA